GGTCTTACCAGGCCCAACGCGGTTCCTCTTTAAATCCCGGGCAAAGCTTATGCAATTGCAAGTTAACAGCAAAGTTTCTTAACTCGCGAAAGTTTTCTTATACAAATTTAATTAGACTTTACAGCGGAACTTGCACAAATATTTACTCAAATTCTTGCCATGAAATTCGCTAAGCAATAACATTCTTGCAGAAGCGGATGTGAAATTTAAAATCAAATTAGATCTAAAGCCTAATAAAGACCTATTCTAAGTATTATGATTGATGTCTTGTTCTTTGCTTTACACTCTCTCGAATTTATCTGTCTTATCTTCATATAATGTTACCATGATGCAACCCACTTTATCACTATCATTGATTTTTCTTCAAATTTTACTTTATCTCTGATGATGTTATGGAAGTTGTTTACATAAGATCTTTGCATTATGAATTCCTCTAGGTTTGTTTTTCAGCTACCGCCAATTTCTCTTCTCCTCTCTCCTGCTTTACTATCTCCTCAGCTTCTTTATTTCTGGCATCTTTTTCTGTCTCTTAACCACTCACTCCATTTCTCCCTCTCCATCTCATTTTCTCTTGCTATCTCTCCTTCACTGGGTCTTTGTCTCTCACTATGTTTCTTTCTCTCACTTTCTTTCACCCTCTCTCCATTATTCTTCCTCTCTGTTTGTTGCCCTCTTTCTCTTCCACAGACGCTTACTTCACTCTCTCTAAATATCTGTCTATCTCTTTCTATTTCCTAGTGTCCCTTGAGAATCCATGTAAATCGCATACAAAAACGCTATAGCGTTTACATTCCGACACACATCAATCAATATCAATTTATAATTTAATATATTTCGTTCCCCTGGCAATTGAAAATGCCGTTATAAACTCATTTTATACCCAGAAATAATGGAATGCAGGGTATATTAACTTTGCCCGAATATATGTAACAGCTAGAGAAAGGCATGGCCTGAAAATTAAAATGTGCTGAGAAACGTTCATGTATATAGATATATGTACATATGTTTAAAACAGCAACACAGAGAAGGAAATATGTGTACAGGGTATCTGTTGGTCGGGCACATTTCCGAATGTTTTCATTTATGGGTCAGGGGTGGAGCTGAATTGAATGAAGTTCCCAGCGAGGCCATTAATTAAATATTTTTGCCATATTGCAGTAAATGTGGTCAAACGTAAAGCATTCAAATTAAAATGCTTAAATATTTATACAAATTAAAACCTATGTAAAATGCAAAGTTAACATTATTGATGTTGCAGTTGTTGTAGTTGTTGTTGCTTGTTGCCTGTCTGAATGTTGGGCAAATATTTGATGGTCCATGAGAAATGTTCTCATTAAATACTTATGCCAATTAGATATATTTGCAAATGCCAAAATAATGTAAATAGACAAGCACAGAGAGAGAGAGAGATAAATAAAGAGAGAGAGAGAGATAAATAGAGAGAGACAGAGTGAGAGAGGAGGGATTACTGCTATGTTTAGCAATTTTGAGCTTTTGAATTCACACAGCACTTTAAAGATTAAAATTATACATATATTTTGTTTATTTACAAAACGAAATACCAAAAGATTCATAGGCAATTTGCAAATTCCATAATTAAACAATCCAAAAGATGTTCCTCTTATTCAAAGCATATCGTGTTATAAATATATACATGTACATATATATATCAGTATATATGTATATAAAATCGATATATTGCAGTCTCCATGGACAACTCACGTTGAACAGCGTTTTCAGCTCGTAAAGCTGACATAAAAACTCAAATTGGTTTGTTTAACAACCAGTTAGAGATATGACTAATAAAATGGGACATAAAAGTTAAATATTCTAGAATTGCCTTTTTTTATACAACAATATAAGGCAAACATATTGAAGAACTCGGGCCTGAGAGAGAAGAGAAGGAAGTGAACTGAATGGAATGGAACTGAATGAAGATGCGAAAAGGCAATGATGAAATTTAAATGAATTATTGCATTATTATTGCATTATTTAATATAACAATTTTTCCAATTTTATATGAATGTGAAAAGATAATAAGAAAGAGAGAGATATAAATAGAAACAGTGAAAGAGAGAGAGATATAGATAGACGGAGAGAGGAATAAAGAAAGGGACACGTACATTAAAATTTACATTTATTAAGACTTTTGTTTATCGATTTCATGTATTGGCTGCAGTTATCGATAAATTGACTGCCACTATAAGATTTCTGGAATTTATTTACTTTATTAAGCTCTTTGCCCAAATAGAAGAGCTTTTATATATAGTTAACGTATTACATAGACTAATAGACGTTATCATAATTAGTAAACTGGAATATAAGTATTGTAATATCAATCACGGTTGATTCGCATTCGCATTCTTCTACTTTGTATAAGAGACATTTATTTACTGTCCAAGTTTCTGTTTTCCATCATTTCTTGACAAAGTAGTTTTCTTTAATAAATCACCTAAAACGTCTTCTTTTTGTGTAACTCTCTGACTGTTTGTGGACCCCTTTGCCTGCACGAGTGTAATAAGCTCTCTAAATATTTAAGTGCGCTATTTAATCTTAAATCGTTTTAATTGCCAAGTTGAACTTTCGCAGTCATTAGCAAGTTCCCGGCAAACGCAGCCTGCCCAGACTCCAGCTGCTCCTGGACTCCAGTTCCGATGCGTTGCTGATGCGAACTACTCTAGAAGCTGTAATTGTAACATTTACCGTTAGTGCCGGCGAGAGAGACAGAGAGAGAGTGAGGGAGAGAGAAAGTGTGGCTTATAATTGGGCTCCGGAGAGGCGTTGAATCGTTGAGGCGACGATGCGTGTTGTTCAGTTGGCAGCCCAAGTGCCAACCAGTTGCCTGAGAGGCGAAAGCAAAGACGAGGGGGAAGTGTACGGAGGAGGAGTAGGAGGGGAAGAGTAGGGAAGTGCCTGCAGCAACTGACTGCTTAATTTGTTGCACTTCAACGGACCCTGTCGAACGAGTGAGCGGTGGAGAGAGAGAGAGAGAGAGAGAGAGATGTAGAGCACAGTCAATCATGTTTTTTCTTTTAACCCGAGTTGATTGCGGAAAGCGAACGAATTGGCGGGTGGGGAATGGAAGAGAAGAATGAAGAGTGGAGTAATGCAGCGTATGGCAGCCATTTTGTAATTTGTAATAACCGCATTCCCATGGGATAACAAGTAGAAATTTGTATAGAGGTAGTCCACTTGGAGATACCCTGTACAGATGCTAACTTGTAACATTATTACTTAATTATAATTTCAATTTAAGACTAGTAAATGCTCTCTAGATAGTTAAGTTAATGCATTAGTACATAAATGGCAAAAATTGCATTACATTAAAAAAATTAAAAAAACAAAAATACCTCAGCACGAAATAAGTCTACACATTATATGCTGGTAGTCAACTACCCGGTAAAAAAGTTATCTCGTAGCTTAGGTCAGTAAATGTAAACAACTAACCATTTTCATATATTACTTAGATTGTAGCATAAGGCAAACAACATTTAATTGACAATCAATTATTCATAAAAAATTGATATGTAATTGCTGCTAGTAAATAACCTGTTAAATAGTCCAACTATGCTAGGAACTGATAAGGGTAGGAATTTTGTAATATTTTTGAATACCAAAGGGTGCCCTTTTGAGTTTTAAAGGTATGCTTCATGTATAAAAAATACATGCTGTACTTCATGCTACCGATAATCGAAGTTGGGTAGACAAGAGTAAATACTGTGTAAAGGAAAATCATCTCAACTTCTTATTTTGGAATTGTCAAAATGTCTTCATTTGGCGTGTAGTCCGTTCCAAGGAATAAAACGCAATAAAACTGCAACATTGTTACGGAGAAGCAGTGCCAACTGTCAGTAACTGCAGAGAAAAGTCGCTCGGAGACGCTGAAACAGCACTCAGGGGAGAGAGAGAGAGAAAGAGATAGAGAAAGGACTCAATAAAACGAAAGCAGTTAGGTAAAAGAACGCAAGCCAAGGGAAAACCTATGCAATGATGTTTGCATGACTTAACAATATGCATGACAGCAACTAAATGTGACTGACTAGTAGATACTCTGCATTAAACTTTAATGTACGTGGCGTATGGCTTAACTTAATTCAAACCCCTTTTAAAATAATCACGAGTTCCTAGAAATATTTCAATCAATTTTTGGCTAAAATGAAGTTGGCTCCAACGCCATTCAGCTGCCAAATCCGGTTAAAAGCTGACAAGGGTGAAAGCCCTTTGTCTGTCCGTGACGTAAAAGGCTATACTCGAATGGACGGCACTCGAATGATTTTGCGGGAATAAAAAAGGTTAGCTGAAAAACCACTTCAATTAGCTGAGTGCAACACGATTTAGAAATTCCCTCTGCTCGGATAAATTTCAGTTGGAGTTTGTTTTTTTTTTTTTCACCTTTGTTGTCTCGCCCTTTTCTATTACACCTGTGCCAATTGGCATACACGTGGCGGATGCTCGTCACAATTCCCTTTAACGACAATCGGCACAGTTATGTAAAGTAACAATACGCCTGTCCGTAGCTTCCGCAATTCCCACAACTTTTCAGCAGACATTTAGACACTTTTGTTGCCTAACAAGCGGCAAACGAACAATAAGAGAATGCGACAAATTTTACAACATTCGCATCACTTCTAACTGTTTAATGCTCCACGAAATTCATTTCGACTATGCATACAGTAAATTTAAATAAATATTTTAATTATTGAATACTGGGTGTATATAATAAATATGATTTCCAGCAAGCACCATCATGCGATACTAGTTCGGGATTATAAAGGATCTTCTTTTTAAAGATCGTAGTAATCATAACGTAGTAAAGCATACACCATATTCAGAACTCAATTTTCGCCTGGAAAATTGGTTTTGAATTACAGCAATGCACTTAAAATTACTAAAACTTTTTTGAAAACCCTTCAGTTATAATTCATTCATAGAATTAATTTTACACAAATTCAAGTAGTTAACTTCTTTAAATATTTTCCGAAATATAATATATATAGATCTCAGGACTTACCTATATTAACAATGCCATGATTGGTTAGTTCCCAGCATGACTGTAAGCGTAATATGCTCAAACTGTGACTTTGCTTTGGCGAGAAGTAGCCCAGGGCAGCATCTGTGACATGGTAAGCCTGTAATTTAATTAAATATGAGACCATGTTCCACACACTGTCACTCACACACACACACACGCAGACACACAGATAGACATTGTGCTGGAAAAACTTGCCTGGAGCGAGAATTCGTAGAGCGAAGGCAGCAGCTGAGCCACAGCTCCAACCGCCTCATCCGCAATGTTGATGCAGTCCGCCAGCGACAAGGACACTATTCGGGGCGTCAGGCAGGCCCAGAGGCCCGCCTCGGTGACCTCATTGCAGCCAGCCAGCTCAAGTTCAAACAGACTCTGCAATTGTCATCATATTCAGTTAGATATATACATCCGTATATGTATATAGATGTGTGTAGTGGCTTGGCTTTGCCATTTGTTGTTTGCTATTTCGTATTTATGTTTTATTCGAGTTTAGTTTAGTTTTTTAATTAAAAACATGTTGTACAAAAAAATATTTATAGAGGGTAAATGCTAGGGATGTGTTTTATAAACCTAAACAAATAATTTGAGTTACTTTCGAATTCTATATAAACCGACAATAATCCTCGAGTATAAATATAAATATACTTAAAGATTGCACGTGCACTACCTATTAAAATATTCCACAATTAATAAAATAAAATCTAATAAAAGCCCAAACTTAGCTGGACTTATGTGTCACAAAGCTGACTTTGTACTTTTCATAACTTTATAATGTTTCCAACAGCTCGGGCATGAGACATGCCATTAGAGACCCGGAAAATACTTGAAAATTGTTTCAACTTTGACCTTTGGCTGGGAAAAACAATTGCAGGCAAACAATTTCACATTTCACAATGAATGGTCCGACCCACATTGCGTGCCCAGACAATATGTCGTGGACTCTTCGATCTGACTAGTCACAATTTTGTTATTGTCGTTATGGCTCTGGAGTTGGTAGCGCTTCTTGGCGACACTCGAGAACTTTTGCTCGTGGACCGCGTGGCACACAAGAGAAGCCAACAGCAAGCAACAACAACAGCAAGCAACAACAACAACAAACAACAACATGTTAAATCAAAGGACAATAGCAATAAAGTCGCTCAGCAAAGTGAAAACATGACGCAAAACCTAAAGAGGAAATGCGAGGAAATCGAGCAAAATGCGAAATGCCACATGGAAAACAAGAGGGAAAAGAAATACGTTTAAGGGCATACAGAAGGAAAAACAAAATAACAGAACTGAACTGGAGAAACCCACAAACTTTTATCGTTAACTACATCAACAATTAGACGACAAAAATATAGCTGTTGTTGTCGTTCTCGTTGTTGTTGTTGCTGTTGATATTATGTATTTCAGTCATCTTTGTGTATATCAAATGTCAGTTATGACAAATGACCTTTAGTCTGACTTCTTATAATCAGGTTTATTATATGGTACGGGACTTGATTATGAATAAATGTTGAGTAAGTTGAGTTCATTGAAATTTATAAAAACAAGTAAGAAGCTTTAGCAATATATTTTTATATTACTTCCCAAAGGGTAAACAAGTATAGTTCTGAGTAAACACTACTTTGATTAACATCTGCAGTCGTCCATCAGTTTGAATCATTTTAGATATATACTCATATGAAGTTCTAGGTTACTTTGAAGGTACTCAGGAAAAAGCAATTTTTTTTTTGTATGTATATACAGGAGTATATTCGGAGTTATTTATATGTATATATTCATATACATACATACATATATACTAAGTATTTAATTCCAACATAATACAAGATGAGCTTAAATACCATTTATCGTATACCATTTCACTTAGCTTTCATTCAATTATACGACGTACATAAATACCGAGCATATATGAATAAATAAATAATATGATATACGGCCAGCCCTATCTCTCTCTCTCTTTCTCTCTTTCTGTCTCTGTTTCTTTCACTCTGTCAGAATTGTCTCTTTAATTATGCATTCATTCAGTCATTCATGAATAGTGCGGGCTAAGAACATGATCGTATAAATGACTATCTGATAAATCTTATGGCTATTATGCTGATATGCAAATAGCCTTTAATTAGTTTCCAGCTAATTGACGTACGTTTATACCCCACGCCCCCTCGCTCCACCTCGCCACTTCCTCTTTCCTCTGCCTTTGGAAATGACTTCATTGTTAATGGGGAAAATGGTTGGGGCATCAGTGGATTTTTGCTTTTTTATGGCAAAAACTTTTCTTTTTTCCTCTATGTTTGCTATTGTTGTTGTTTTCCCAGCTGGTTGGCAACACACACGTATCCAGGGTAAACTTTTTTACATGTCAGCCGCAAAATCAATAAGCCACAAAGCCACAATGAGATGTTGCCCGAGATAGAAGTTGGTGTTTTTGTTTTATGTATTCGTAGTTTAAATAAATCTCGCTTAAGTAATATTTTCGCCAAGCTTAAGCCACAGAAATAAATAAAAAAGTGTTTTTAGTGAGTAGAAAGTCCCATAAAGACTCGCATGAAAACAAATATTTCAAATAATTTACTCTCTTGATCTACAAAGAAAGATTTGGGAATCCCTTAAAAGACCTTAAAAGATCATCTGTTAATAAATTTATAAATACAACTGTATCAACATAAAATATAAAAGCAATACAATATCCATACATTTACGATATTTAATAGATTTTAACTGTATATCTTCTTGTCCAGTTAAATAAACATTCAAGTCGCAAAGTAAACTCACATGCCTAAGCAAGTGCAATGCAGACGGTGTCTACTGTATCTACACACACTCGTAAATATTTGGTATAACTGAGTTAATTCGACTCCAACTCCAAGTTGAGTGTCTGAAGAACTATTTCTAGAATATCTAGCTGGCGCATGTCATCGTTTATGGGTCAACTGGGTTCAACAGCGCGCCAGCTTGAGCAGTTGGCAATGCGGAAATAATGTATACGCCGCGTGTGCTACGAAGGCAATTGCCAACTGAGGGCCCATTAAACGGGTATGCAACAGCAGCAGCAGTAGCATGCTGTCGCATTTCCGTCGCAATTTTCGTGCCATGAATGATTGGGAATTGTTAATGCAAAGCCAAAGCTTTGTAGGGTCGCAGATGCATTAGGCGCATTGCGTTCGTTCCCCAAGGTCAAATATGCTTTACGTATATACACATATAATATATATACATTTATGTAAATTTGCGGTATTTGAAATTATACTACTAAAAGCTACACACACACACGCACGCACACACAGGCAACTATGCGTGCCATTCTTGTTGACATTTCCAGCGACAACAATTTGCAATCAGCAACAAACGAGGCCCATGAACATGACATGCATTCACATTGAATTAACAGCGACATTGCAGATTGACACGCAGTCTGACAGACTGACGGACTGACTACGCAAGTGAGTGACTGAGTGACTGAGTGACTGACTGATTGACAGAGCCACAAACAGGAGCAGCTGGCATAGAGTGTGCGGCCATTGAGGTAGCTCCATCCTCTCAACTGGGCTCCCCCAGCGCCCACACATTATCCACTTTACTCATGTGCGTCAACCACGCCTACACCTACGCACTGCCCTCCTGCTGGCCGCCTAGCGAATTAAGTTGGAGGGATTCTTAGAACTCAGAATAGATTTTGGGAGCTGAGTTGAGTTGAGCTGAAGTTAGTTGAGGGCAGCAATTAGAGCAACTAATTGGATTTGTCATTCGACTTAAGATTAAAATAAATTAATTACTAAAAGTAATCACATGTCGAAAATAATGTGAAGTGAGAATAATGCTAAAAGTTTGCTGAAATAAAAGTAATCAAGTGAAAAGTCGTATTTGTGAAACTATGCCATAAGACAAAAACTAAGAATAATGTCTTAAAGGGGGATTCCTACACTAAGAGTAATAATAATCAAATAAATAAAAGCCCGTAAAGAAAATACCTGTTCATCTATTTCGCTAACTAAAACAAAGAAAAAACTAAAATTTAATTTTTACACTGCTGACCTTGTATAACTTGTTTATTCACATCGATCAAAACACTTTTGGGGCTGAGCTCGAAGATCATTAAAACTAAACACAGCATATCGATCCGCACAATTATTTAAAATTACATTACATTACATATTACTTGTTTTTAGGCACATAACTGTGCAAAGTTTAGCCCCTTACATCCATTTAAATTTCATTAGAACACTATGCAAATATTAATTAAAATCGTAATACCTGAACAGAAGAAATTCAAAAAAATATGACATAGGTTGGTGTAGAACAGCTATAAAGAAATGAATATATGTGTATATAGTGTATGGGTTTGCGACTCTCTTAATTTCGTATCTATAAAAGAACCTATAGGCACACATACATATACACATCTAAATAGAACAGCAGTAAAGATTAGTTTAGAGTATTTACTAGTCGAGCACTCCCACCTAGAGCACTCTGGCTTTTATTTCTTTTTCGTTTAAGCAGCCTTGAGGCTAGGCTATAAAATGGCGAGGAATTTAACAATTACTACACTTAAATTAAATAAAAAATTTCGAATTCCAAATAAACACCATTTCATCTACCTGCCTAGTTCAGCGCTTTAATTTTCTGGCCTCATAAATATTGCTAAAAATTCATTTCATATTATTTAACGCAGCTCATAAAAGATTCAACAAGCGAAACGCGCTAATTACAATTATATATTATATATACGTAAATATATATATTCCATATATATACGAATGTATGTATATGTTTATATATATATCTATGCTCATTCGTTTTAGTGCAAGATTTTTTACTAAATTAACCGAAATTTATGGCGCTGCCTTTGATGTGATTTTCGCTCTCAATTGATCGCATCAATTCGTTAAGAGATCGGAAAAGCGGAAAGGCATATAGAAATTATCACACAATTTGCAATTACCTAGCGACACCCCTTCTACCCCTTGCACCTCTTCGCACCTGCTGCAGCGTATGTGACACACTTTTGCGTTCAACACGTTTCACTTAAATAAGATCGAGCAAAGTTTGTTTTTCAGTTTCGTTTGCCGGTCAGGAATTTTTCAAGATTTATTTTCGTTTAGGCCGTGCGCCGTGTGACTGACCATCATCAATGAGAATGTTGTCTCTCTCTTTCTCTTAGTCCATTTCTCTTTCTTTGTCTCTACCTCTCCCCATTCTTTCTCTCTCTCTGCACCCATGTCTCTCCATTTCTCACTATCTTTGTGTCTTAGGGTCTCTCTCTGTCTCTCCCTCTCTCTCTCTCTGTTTCTATTTTCTAATTTCCTCTCTCTATATATATCTCTTTCTCTGGCGAAATGCCCACGGTCATGGGAAAATGCTGAAGCTGATGCTGGGCATCACAATTTGAGTGACACATATGACAGCAGACGATGATAAACACACCAAATATATCTATATAAGCTCTATAAGCATAAGTTGTCTCAAAGAAAAATATCTTGGGAAAATATTTGCAAAATGAAATCAATTTGTTATTCTTAAAAGGAAACATATAAATGGAAATATATATATGTATATAGTAAAGTATAATGCTTATCACTATACAAAACTACAACTTAAGCATGTGTATTTATGATTTATCTATAGGAGTATAAGTAAATGCTACGAAATATTTTTGAACTTGGGGAAAAATAAAATAAGAAAGTAGATGGATATAATATTTAAAAAATATTTGTATTTGTTTCATAGGCATATCAGGAATTTTTAGATTATTATATACATATAATAAAATATAATAATAACATATAATATTTAATTCTTCAGCCTTCTCACCTGCAAGTGATCCAATAGCGTTTCGAGTCCCCGATCGCTGATCGAGGAGCAGCGCAGGCTGAGCGAGTGGACGTGCTTGGAGGCCAGCGGAAAGGAGTGGACAACATCCAGAGCATCCTCGTCGGAGGCGCCGACGAGGCCGAGCGCATGGAAACCGCGTCGAATGAGCGAGGTGTAGAGTTTTCCCCGATCGCAGGCGGGCATCTGGCGGAGTTCGCGGCACTGCAGCGTGGGCAGCAGTCCGGACCAGTAGCGTGGACTGCGGTACAGTATGTCCCGCCACTTGATGCACACCTGGGCGAGCACGCGCCGCTCGTACGGCGAAAAGTATTGGAAAAAGCGATTCAGAAAGCGATCGTCCAGCATGAGGGCGTCGATGCTCTGCATATGTGGCGGGTGCTTGTGGAGGATTAGCGCGGACAACGGCTGGGTAACGGTGCCGGGCAGCTGGTTGGGCGCAGCCACTGCGCCATAGGGATGATGCAAGTGGGGATTGGGCAGCTGTTTGCGCATCTGCAGCGGCGTGCCCCCGCCGGCGACCTTCTGTGCCGCGACCATGCCCATTGTGCTGAAGGTGGGCGAGCCGGGCGCTGGAATCTGAATGTTCATTTGCTTGGCAATCGATTTCACTGTGGGAGTGGGCGGAGCACCTAACGGCATATTGCTAGGCGGCGCAGGTACACCAGCTGGCATTACCAGGTGATGATTGGAGTTAATCAGCGTGGAGCCTGCCATTGCCTGAAGCTGCTGCTGCTGCTGCTGCTGTTGTTGTTGCTGTTGTTGTTGCTGCTGCTGTTGTTGTTGCATTAGATGCGCGGGACTGTGAGGCAGACTGGGATTAACGGACGCCAATGGCTGCGCCTGCTGTTGTGTACTCGTCAGGGAAATGAGCGTAGCAGCACCCGGGCTGCCTCGCGACGGCTTATCTGGCGTTTGCGGCGAATTCACAGAGCCGGGCACGCCGGCGTTTGAGCTGTTGCTATTGGTATTGGTGTTGGTATTTGAGTTGGAGTTGGAGTTTGAGTTGGAGCTGGAATTGGAGTTCGAATTCGAATTGGAGTTCGAATTGCCGCCGCCACAGAGCGCATTGGTTACACGCTCCATTACTGAGGTTTTGCCGCTGGACGAGGTGGCACTGGATGTGGAATTAGAGGAAGCGTTGTCGCCGCCGCCGCTGCTGCTGCTGCTATTGTTGCTGTTGCTGCCATGATGGTGTTTTGAGCGTAATCCCAGTCCGTTTATGCGTTTCGATAATTCCGCGGAGGCTCTCTCGACCACGCCCTGAGCCGAGATCGATGACATTGTATGCTGAAACAAATTCACTTTGTCTCGCTCGCTCGCACGCACTCAGAGACGAATACAGAACGTTTCCTATAGATGACACCCTTTCTCTCTCTCTCTCGCTTTCTGTCTCCCTCCGTCTGTCCTTTACATAGCGTGCATTTGCAACATGTTCGACTATTTGAGCGTTGACCTTGTTTCGACGTTCTTTCGCTCTATCTCCCTCTCACTTTAGCAACTGCAAGCAAAGAAGAAAAAAGAGCTGTTATGCAGTTTACCGTTAGGTCTTTGTTACGGCCCAGCGCACGAAGCGAACAGGCGCGAGGCAAAAACGCAAATCAGCGCAAATTTATGTTCCACATTCATTAAGTGTTTTATTTGTTGCTGTTATTGTTGCTGCTGCTGCTGCTGCTGCTGGCATTGCACGCCACCGGGCATATCCTATTCATCATTTTCTATCCACCTGTTCGCCCACTCGCCAATCCGGTACCTCGCCCATTTGCCCATTCCGCATTCGCGATTTGTTGTGGCTGCGCAAAACTTCAGCGATAAAGCGAATGGCGAAAAAAGTAACGGCAATTGATATAGAACTATGCCAAGGTAATTGCACAATGACTTTAAAGAGGGCGACTCAGGTTCCTTGAACTACCACAGGGTGGCTCAAGTGAAAAGTTGTTTAATAGTTCCCGAAGTTTTGCAATCGAATTAGTTAAATATATTTAAATAATTTATCTGTCATTCACAATTGTATTTTCCCATTCGCAATTAAAATATTTTTGCTCTCATTCACAATTGTATTTTCCCATTCATAATTCATTTGCAGTAATTAAATTGCAGCGCGAACGTTGCCACCTAGCTGAATTTATTATTTTAGCCAAGGCTACCCATTCAATTAGCCAAATGGCGAAGTCGGATGCCAACATCAGCATTCAACAACTGGCAAACAACAACAATAAAACCAATACTGTGCAGCAAGGACATTGCGAGAAATTCCAACAAACGATTCAACGATGTCTGAAAACTTTTTGCACTATGAACTGCAAACGAATTTCATTAATAACAATTTCGGGAATAGTTAAAATTTGGAGTGCTATGAATAAGGAATTGGAATTGTTAATTGGAGATTGTAGGTTGTAGAAACGTTAGTCTTACAAATGATTTGCATTTAAAACTGGATAAAATCCCCAAGAGGCTTAAATGCAGACAATCGCATAGAAAAGAGATGTTTAATAGACGATGGAAAAACAAATAAGATTCAATGAAATTTATTAAATATATCCAATTTATAGTATTTCCTACACTCTTTCCTATAATGACTTATATACATATAAGACAATGAGATATTACTTCTCTCTCTCTCTCTCTCTAATCAACTAATTTGGCTTGCAATTTTATGAAAAATACGATGTATTATAAAACAAACCTTTAGAAAATATGTAGGTTCACCTAGAGTTAATTATAAACTTTACCCTGGCATTTCACATGATAAATTTGTACCTAAAATTAAAATACCTTGTTCTATAATCGGGGAAAAGAAGATATTCAGGAATAATTCAGGTCCAGTAAGAGCTAATTAGTACTTAATTACATTTAAAATACGTTCTATGTAATACGAAAGAGACTAACTAGCCAATACAATAGAGTGGGAAATAAATAAAAGGACTTGTAGTTATTAGATACTAATTAAATTCATATACTTTTGAAAATATAATCCATTAATAGTAATAATAAATTCTTCATAGCCTAATAAAATCATGTTGGCCTGTGTAAGCCTTGAAACTTGAAAGCGAATAAATAATTTAATATTCTCTCATGGAGTTTAATCAGGTTTTATGCTTTAGATATAAAGCAGAAAGCTTTCTAAACATTTATTGCAATAATATTCTCGAGTACTTTCTAGAATGAATGTTAAATTTAAATTGTTGGCAAGGACTAATGAAACAATTCAAAAGGCTTTGTCGTGCATCTGTGCCAAGAGTGTGTTATATATGTATGTATATCTGTGTATGTGTATACACCTCGAGGTATGTGTGTGCGTGTGTGTGTCAGACGTGTACTGCAATTTAAAAACTTAACCTGCTTCCAATCTCAGTCAAATGGGGTTATTATGAAAAATGAAAAAGAGAACGAGAAAAGTAAGCTGGGGTAGGCGTTTGCGCAAAATGCTCATTAGGGGAGAACAAAGGAACTGAGCTTGAAAGACAATTTAATTGCCATAAATATGGGGCCTTTTTATGTCTCGCTTTCGCATTCCACTTCCGCTCTCGTCTGCGCCCCGCCCCGACCCGCTGAAGGTGAACGTCTCGCTGCAGCGTCACCTTCTTGACTATGACCCCATCATCGTCCTCTTTCTCGTCGTCTTTATCGTTTCTCGCCGCTCTTGACTTGGCTCAAGCAGCTCAAATCTTTTCGTTTGCCTTATCGCTGTCCTTCGGCCCGTGAGTCGAACAAAACAAAGGCGGCCCACGCTAACATCCCAGGAGGGGGAACGGAGTTGGGATGCGACATTGTTCTCTGTGACTTCCTGGTCGTTGTGGGTCCCTTCAATGACGAGCTATGTCCTTTGTCTAGTAAACTATTTCATCTCAAGTCCGTCTGCAGCGCGTCTCCCATTCATGACCTATCGAACAAATTTTGGTTGGCAAGGCCAACCTTTGTTCCGCCGCACAAAAAAACAAACTTCGTATGTCTTCCCGCATATCTTCTTCATTCATTAATTCGCAATCAACACAGCTGTGCGTGCTAAACAAATTTTGGCTTTGGGTTTCATATATCCAAAGTCATGCAGGAAAAGCTAATTAAATATAAAGTTTCAATTTTTGCATAATTGCTATGAAAGTTATGTGAAAGTTTAACTATTTTCTGAGTTGATATGACAGCAATTAATGCAGAAACATTTCGCGAATATCAAAAAGTTGTGTAGATTTTAAACCCACACTAATTAGCATTCATGCAGTTTTTAAAACTGCGGCACAGAGAAGAGTTGACTGCAATTACGACTCAACACTTTGAGTTGAATTTGACATTTTGGCAACGATATTGTTTGGTCAGCAGCGGCTGCTGTGCCAACGGCTGTGGCATGTGCTTATTAGGCACCACGGGGCATGCATTTGAGATCAGGCAAAACTTTCTGCCACAAGCCCGAAACAAGTTGCATACTGTGCGGCGCAGTTGCGGCCCCTTGAATGTGAATGTCAGCTTAAATATAAATATGAATGTGATTGTCAACAGCCAAAGGCAGCAGCAGCAGTAACATCTGCTCTGAAATTTTTGGGGTCTGCACATGCACGAGTGTGTGTGTGTGTGTGTGTGTGTGTCTGTCGCCCGTACCTATTAAATTTTTTGTTTTGCGGCCCTTCGCTTTGTAAGCATTTTCCGCCGCTTGGCTGTGTCTATTTTTGGAGTTGGTTCAAGTCGAGTTGAGTTGCTGTTGTTGCTACTATTTTTGTTGTTGTAGTTGTTGTGGCTTTTGTTGTTGTGGTTGCCTCGCGTGCTTCGTGCCCTCTGCTTATTGGATTTTGCTGCTTTCTCGGGTACTTCGTCGAGTAACGGTAACTACCACACGCTTTAAATCGCTGTTGTGTGTCAGGGCCTGCTCCACATCTAAGCCCATGCTGGCTTCGCCCAGAAACACCCTGCCCCTCCCCCTCCCCTATTCCGGGCGCTTTGCTAGTATTTGTATGCGTGCTGCGCCAGCTCCATATATCGATTTTCGTCCTGCTCTCTTTTTTTGTTCTTTTACTCAAATGCGCTTTGATCTAAGCGATGAAAACAAAATAAATCTTTCGTTTTGACAGGCACAAAGTGAATGACAATCCATTATATTGCTAAGCAGAAGGTAAATTTACCGCTAATGTAAACTAATGTTTATCAAGATATATTTAATGCATATTCTGATAGTAAGTATTGAAAATAAATTTTTTTTGAATTACATTACTGTAATATTTTCCATTTTACCGTGTGATTTATTTCTTATATTCTCTGTGAACTATGACTAATCGATATCCAATTATATTTATCGAAAGAAATTACATATGTAATAACCTAAACACGATACTATTTTATAAAGAAAACAAAATAAAAATTTAATACAAATTTTCATATATTTTAAAAAGTTATTTGCAATGATTAATACATAAACGACTATTGAACTAAAAGAAGACCAAGTTCCCTGCATATATCCTTTAGTATATTAAGCATAAAAGTATGCTGTTAAAATTGTTCAATGATTTCGTAGAAGCTCACTCAAATCACAAACATTGTCCATCAGTTATAATCGAATATGTTTATATGTTTTTACAGCATGCTGGAGTAGGTGTTGACTGAATGCAAACTTGACATTGTCAACAGAGTCTCCTAACGAGAAACAGCTGCGCATGGTCCATTGTTGGGGAGCTTTAACTGGATGTCCCGCTGCTATCAATATAGGCAGTGATTCATGCAACACATGGCAGCTGTGCGTCAGCGTCAGTGCCTGGAAGTGGGTCAAACTATGCAACTTTGACCCGATTTCTTTGCCTTTGCCATTGTTGTGCACTGGGCAATATATGAACAAGATTATAAACTGGATTTTAAACGCTCATCAATACGTGGCGACCAGGTGCCGCTCCTAAAGCGGAAACTGAGCCAACCAAGGGTCGCGCCGCACTGTCTAAAGTCCTTTATTATTTTATGGGTGGATGTCGCTGCTATGACATCACAAGCTCTAAGCGGTTGGACAAGCGGGTGAGCGGGCGAGCGGAAGAGCGGACGAGCCACCCCCCAAGGCGGTGGGTGGCGTTAAGTGCCCGGCTAACATGTTCGGGGGTTGCAAAGAGCAGCTCAAACTCAAAGATGGAGGCCTATGAGGGAAGGTGGATGGCGTAGAATGCTATTGCGTGGAGCCGAGTGAAAAGCAGCAGACAAAGCGAAAGCAAACAAATCACGTGCAGCTCAAATGTGGAAACAGCACAATACTACAATACGCTTCGAAATAGCTTAAAAGTTAGTTATTTTTTATTTAATAATGAATTTACGCACCTTTTAGAATATATTTCTACTTTATGTATTTACATATATTTGTTATTTTGGAATATTCTATAGCTTGTCTAGCGCAATAAAAATCAATTTTTACAAGTGTCGCGACGTGTTTTTGTTTTTAATGGTTTCTTCGCTTTTTTACTTTTTTATTTTCTGGCGTTTTTTTTTTTTTGTGCCTCGCTGCTTTCGGGCTTTTGACCGACGAAAAGTAAAAAAAAA